GGGCCTTTATTTTTTGGCGGCCGTGGAGAAATTAACCGACCGAGACGACAGCAGACCAAAGGGAAGACGCCTGCGGTCGGGGCGCGTCAAAATTCAAGTGGACTGATGGCAGTGGCAGTGGAGACCTGCAGCATCCATTTTCTTGCAAAAGCACAAAACAAGAGCCATGTTTCCATGGAGACCAACAAACAGACATATTACTTAAGGGACTACCGAGCTTCCTGTGGTGCTCAATGATTGGATCGTTCAGATGCTGCAGTACCTGGGGGAGAGAGCTTACAGCTCTGCTCTTAAGAGCTGTGAGGATAGGATGCGTTTGGCTGACTGGATCAGACCTTAAGCCACCTCATACGCAGACAATATGCAATCAATCTGACTGTAATACCATGTTATATAGATGAGGGTTAATATAAAGCATGAATAAACAACAGTATAAATAGATCAGCTGATCTGGGCAATGACATAGAGCATGTTCTTTAATTCTAGTGACTCACCAATTTGAGCTACATTTAATCATCTTTGTTAAAAAGAAGTTGCAACAGTCAACAAACTCATGAATCTAATCAAGAAGAATGTCAATTCAAATCAAGAAATTGCAAAGGATTTTTTAAATAATAGCCCATTCTTCCATTTGTAAAGTGCTTAGACCTGTTTTTGTGTGTGTCATGTTTGGAAGAATTACGTCAAGATTTTTAAAAATCCCTTACAAGAGATGAATTTCTTTACAAGAAAACTGCCATTCGCATTTCTGAAAGCTGGTCAAATATTGATGCTCAATAATTGATTTTCCTTTCCCTCTGGCCTGCATCTCGGTCCCTCTTGTGGCTCCTTTTCCTGTGACGTCCTCCTCTCTGTTGGGAGTCAAAAGGAGGCTCTGCTGGCCTGATTCCAACTCTTGGGATGGTTGGTGTAGCTAGGTTCCTTGACACAGCAAAGGTATCATTAACATAAAATTACAAATTTATGTTAAAAACAATGGCTTACATTAAAAAGATAAACAAAATCTATGGAATTGTTTTATTAAAGACAGAAATTGGTGGAGTTCCACAAGGATCTATACTTAGTCCTTTTTAGCTTACTTTGATTGTAGTTTGGTTTATGAGAACAAAACAGTCATTCTTATGGTAAGTTCCTGAAACTTGAAGCTTAAATTTACAAATATTAATGTCTTTTTTAAGATGATCAAGATTATCAAGATTACCAGCATACAGTGGTTTGCAAAAGTATTCATACCCCTTGAACTTTTCCATATTTTGTCACATTACAACCACAAACATAAATATATTTCACTGGAATTTAATGTGAAAGACCAACACAAAGTGGTATACAATTGTGAAGTGGAAGCAAAATTTTACATGAATCAAAACATTTTTTACAAATAAAAAACTGAAAAGTGCGATGTGCAAAATTATTCAGCCCCCCTGAGTCAATACTTTGTGGAGCCACCTTTTGCTGCAATTACAGCTGCAAGTCTTTTAGGGTATGTCTCCACCAGCTTTGCACATCTAGTGACTGCAATTCTTGCCCATTCCTCCTTGCAAAACAGCTCAAGCTCAGTCAGATTGGATGGAGAGCGTTTGTGAACAGCAGTTTTGAGATCTTGCCACAAATTCTCAATTGGGTTTAGGTCTGGACTTTGACTGGGCCATTTTAACACATGAATATTCTTTTTTTTAAACCACTCCATTGTAGCTTTGGCTTTATGTTTAGGGTCGTTGTCCTGCTGGAAGGTGAACCTCCGCCCCAGTCTCAAATCTTTTGCTGACTCCAACAGGTTTTCTTCCAAGATTGCCCTGTATTTGGCTCCATCCATCTTCCCATCAACTTTGACCAACTTCCCGGTCCCTGCTGAAGAGAAGCACCCCCAGAGCATGATGCTGCCACCACCATATTTGACAGTGGGGATGGTGTTTTCAGAGTGATGTGCAGTGTTCTTTCTCCGCCACACATAGCGTTTTGCATTGTGGCCAAAAAGTTCAATTTTGGTCTCGTCTGACCAAAGCACCTTCTTCCACATGTTTGCTGTGTCCTCAACATGGCTTCTGGCAAACTGCAAACGGGACTTCTTATGGTTTTCTTTTAACAATGGCTTTCTCCTTGCCACTCTTCCATAAAGACCACATTTGTGTAGTGCACGACTAATTGTTGTCCTGTGGACAGTTTCCCCCACCTGAGCTGTGGCTCTCTGCATTTCATCCAGAGTCACCATGGGCCTCTTGGCTGCCTCTCTGATCAGTGATCTCCTTGTTCGGCCTGTAAGTTTAGGTGGACGGCCTTGTCTTGGCAGGTTTACTGTGGTGCCATACTCTTTCCATTTCCGGATGATGGATTGAACAGTGCTCCGTGAGTTGTTCAAAGCTTGGGAAATCTTTTTATAACCTAAGCCTGCTTTAAACTTCTCCAAAACCATATTCCTAACCTGTCTGGTGTGTTCTTTGGACTTCATGATGCTGTTTGCTCCCCAATATTCTCTTAACCAACATCTGAGGCCGTCACGGAGCAGCTGTATTTGTACTGAGATTAGATTACACACAGGTGGACCCTTTTGAGTCATTAGCAGTCATCAGGCAACTTCTGAATGCAATTGGTTGCACTCAGGGAAAAGGGGGCTGAATACTTTTGCACGTCGCACTTTTCAGTTTTTTATTTGTAAAAAATGTTTTGATTCATGTAAAATTTTGCTTCCACTTCACAATTGTATACCACTTTGTGTTGGTCTTTCACATTAAATTCCAGTGAAATATATTTATGTTTGTGGTTGTAATGTGACAAAATATGGAAAAGTTCAAGGGGTATGAATACTTTTGCAAACCACTGTATCTTAAACGACTCCTAACTCTGTTTCAGTGAAGAGATCATTTAAAAATACTTAATATTTCAAAACCATTCAAAGTTCTGGCTTCACCCTGTGTATTGAGACGCACACAGAATGCACTCACAACAGATTTAAGGTCATCATAAAAAGATCTTCCTACACAAAGAATAAATTAAAAATACGCTCATAATGTCATTCACTATGATCCTGTGCACTGAACTCTCGCCCAGAAGAACTCAGGACTGCTACAATCTGGAAAACCCACCATGTGGACTGGAAATAAAATCATCAGTCTGCTTAGAATGAGGCTAAATCCAAAATTAAATGCAAAATGCAAAGTAACTTGCTTACAACTTGTTGGGGCATCAGTAGACACAGACTTAAAAAGCTGAAAATACTTGGAAAAAAACTCTGTCTGTGCTGCGTCCCTTTGTGCAAAAGACAATGGACAAGTTGCTAAACTTAACGAACACACTGAACACTGAAAACTAGCTACACACACGTATTAAACAAGACTGTGTTTAACCCAGAGTGGTTCTGAGTTAATCAATATCACTCGATTCATAACAGCCTGGCCTGAGAATGCATCATCATTATGTTCCTGTTTATTCTTTGTATGTAATCAGTGATTGATGCTGATTATCTGAAATGGCAATCAGCCTGATTATTAGGCTGATTGATTAACAGGATTAAAATCAAAACAGATGTTAGAAAGATTAGTCTTTGCTCATAACAATTATAACCACAAAAATCTCTGAAAGCCAGGGGAAAAGCAATTGCTGGTGTAAAAATATAAAAATTATATTTACTGGTTATTTTCCTCCTCAAAAACAGTACATGAAAAAGCTTGTCCTTGCTAATACCCAACATTTATTTTCATCTACAATTGGTGGCAAAATTAAATCTATTTGCTGTTTTTCACTGTAGAAAACACAACATAAAAACAACTGTGCTTGACAGAACAAGTCAACGTGTATCAAACACAATCTTATGATAGAACTTTCTGAACACATATAAAAATGTTCAAAAGATTCTCATATCTTTTAACAGTGGATGGACAAGTCTGTGTTTGCTGGGAGGTAACACACACAATGACAGTTGTCTATAGAGCCAGTGTAGAGAGTGATTATATATATATATATATATATTTGCCATGATGGACATCAACTTCCTGTGTTGTATAAAGCAACATGCGTTTACCATGCCCATCTCAGGACATTTTCTCACTGAAGGTTAGAGTGAGACCACGCCACTGACACAGACTGTCATTCACCTTGTAGAGTCTAATTCAGACATCAGGGATACTGGTCTTAAACTGTCACTGGATGAAGGATAGAAACAACTCATCCAAATGCCCTCCACTAGAAACATTAAAGACCCTGGTTCTTACCACAAAAGTTGTTATTGCTTTTACTTCCTCAACATCATCAAGTTTTCTTGTTATTTATTCAGAGCTCCAACAAGCCCTCAGCAGAGCCAGTCCAAGGATCTCAAAAAACCAATTGGTATTTGCAATGTGCCATTTTGGGTCTATCCTCTACAACCTAAAATGGGCATCACAATTTGTACAGCATATTGCTGAGAATGATACAACCAGCTTATTGATTTACAACAACAGGATAAACTAACAAAGGAAGCTTGTGGTACAACACGAGGAATGGAAGCTGCTTAGAATACGTATATATTGCAATGTAATACCATACAAACACTACACCTAATGTCTAAAAACGACATGGTAGGTTTTTTCTTTCAATCTCCTGGGTTCATTTTTAAATTCAACAATGTGGCACACTATGATTGTTCATCTTCAGGTAAACAGTGAACAGAACTGTAAAAATTGTCAGGAACGAGTTAGTATGCATGTATTTGTCATAGGTGTTTGTGCAGATGTGAGTGGTAGCTGCAGAGTAAAACAAAAAGGAACTGTAAATAAATCAGCAGCTCAACTGTCTCACATTTGATTGTACGTGGAAAAATGAACTTGTGGATCTCTCAGTAGTGACTGCCTGCCTCAACAGCAAGCAATTCTTGAAGAAACAGTAAAGCCTTTAAAAGAAAGATATTTATGACTAATGATAGCAAATCTATTCTGTCTGTGGTTACTGAAATGACTAAATCTCCCTCATCTTGATTCTTTCAATAGCGTGGTGTTTTTCTGAGTGTGTGCGATTTTGCATGAACATACCGTCACCTTTTCTAAATCAGCTTCGGAGGACGTGGGAGACAGGGGGCTGATGGGACTGAGGGAGGGGGAGCTTCCAACACTGGAGACGTAGTCAGGATCAGGAACATACAGAACCTGCAAACACAATCCATTTCTGTATTTACACAGTGCCAACGTGCACCACATCACACACATGCACACAAGTGGAGACAGAAAATTTCTCACACACAGCATAGAAACGTGACAAGACAAAAACCAGGAAATCACATGCGGTCTCATGTTATTAACAGGTAAAAACAGAGGGAAAGTGACAACGTGACAGAGTGTGAGAACTGACAGGGTGTAAAAACTTGTGGATTTTGCATTCATGATAGCATTTATTTATTTAGAGGGCTGCAGTAGATTATTATATAAATTATTGATGAATCTGTGTATTACTTCCACAATAAATCAAATTACTGTAAGGTTTCTTAAATGTCACAAAACAACAAAATATCCCAATGTTATTCCCCTAACACAGCGTGACATTTACTTGTTTTATAAACTACTCAGAGTAAAAAGTGTTCTGCTGTGTGATGAAGCCACAAAAATGCTAACTGGCTACCAGCAAACAACATGCTAACATTTACTGACTAAACAAAAGTCCTAAAGTCCTAAAAAGCTTTATCAACTCAAATTTACTTTTAGCTTTTTCATCAGTTTTTGCAAAACAACGTCCAGGGTACACTCAATTTAGAGTGAAAGGTTGAGAAAGTTAGCTTACCTAGCCTTAGTCAAAACTTTTGACTAAAAAGGCCTCTCACAATAACAAATTTTGCTGGATGATAAACTCTCAGAACTTATGGCAATAAACAATAATATTGTTTGGAGACCGCTGGCTTCATAAAATAATTTGAGATCAACTACATGCTGTTTACATAGTTTATGCAAGTTTACGAAATTTACATAGTGTAAAAAAACAAAACAAAACAAAAACTCTTGGCAAACTCAAGTTTCAGCACGGTGTCTTGAGGGCGTTTAGAGGCGTCGCCAGCAGAAAGAAAGTCAGAAAACCGAAGACGCTCCTCTGACCAAATGCCTGTTCAGGGGGCTCTCATGCTACAGAGGTTAGAGACTACGTGACTGAAAAATACCCGACACCAGCGTTAACTCCTACCTACGCTAAGAAGTAGAAAAGAGGGAGAGATTAAAAAACAAACAAACAAGTAGGCAAATTAAAATTACCAACGACCTTTTAATTTATCATGAAATTGATTTATTGCTTATCGTGGCAGGCCTAATTTAACATGCACAAATATTAGTACAAGTGCACAAGTTGTTATTTTACGTGAAAGTCAGTTGGTGATTGTTGGACAGTGTCAGAAACCTCCTAAAACTTGTTATTGTGACACTGACTAGTGTTTTTTTTTGTTAAAGAAAATGCTGCATGAAATATAAATAAGTATAATTAAAAGATGCTTGCAAGAGCACTGCCAGGTTTATTACTAATTTAGCTCACAAGTAAAAAACTAATTTAAGAGATCCCTGATTCAATTCAATTTAAGACGTGGCTATATGTCTCACCATTGTATTTTACATAAGTTTCTATTTTACTGATCATTTTCTGACTTGAGCTGGGAATTTTATGGGTTTAAATATTAATATGGTCAAAGCTTTTCTTGGGGTCTAAAATAAAAAAATGTTATTTGTTACTGATTAATTCAGTCTTACTTGTGGAAGAGGAAAAAAGACAAGAGATGATGGGTTAGTAAGTGTCATTACTGCATTCTGTAAGCACAATACCAAACTCATGTGCCGAGAGCTGAGAGATAGGGGACCACTGCCAGGGGGACTGGCTATGGCTCGTGTCCATTCCACCAGGCTTAATTTTAACGCCAGGAAATACAGAGACAAAATAGAAAAAAATATGGATGTCTGCCAAAAGTGAGAAAAAGACAGATTTAAATTTTGGGAGTACTGCTGACAAACAAAAGGATGAAGATCAAAGCTAGGGGAGCAGGCAGAGTGTTTGGCAGACTGACGTGGGAACTACAGCGTCACGGGATGAATTTAAGCATCACACATTTGTGTATTTTCTTTAGAAACAAAATGGGTCTTAAGGAATGTATTAGAGCCCAAATGGACCGAGGGATGCTGTAATTAGCAGGCAAATAAGAAAGACAGGGATGCAGTTAGTGAGTCAGCCAGCTGCCTTTAAAAAGTAGGTGGAATGTACAGCTTCTTGTGTTTCTTAAAAAAAAAACAAAATAAAAAACTTTAACAGATAACTATGCAGCCAAAGACACTGTAATGAACGCAAACTACCAAGATGACCTCATGAAGAATGAGTATGTTAGTGAGTGGCTGTAGGACAGTGATGCGGTGATGAAGTTTGATAGATCACGAAGGCGTGCACAGTGGTTCACACCTGGCCGGGCACCACTGCTCTGGAGAACAACTTGTTCAGCTGAACCAGCTCGTTGGGTGTGGTGTCAAACTTGAGCGCGATGCTGTTTAATGTGTCCCGCGATTCCACCTGGAACACAAAACAAGAGAAAGGACACAAAAGTTACACTGCTGCTGCTGTCCGAGGTTTATCCTACACGCTGCACAGAACAGACTCTAAGGTACAACACACACACACGATGAAAGACACAGAAAACATTGGAAATACAGAACAGTAAAGGGTTTGATTTGCCTTGTGAGCTGCAGGGATGTTATTCTGATTACAGTTGTCAGCTGTTGACCAGAAAATGAGAGTCATGGCTGCTGGCAGAAACATGAAGTGACACGAATGTCTGCTGTTATCTTATCAGCCCCTTCAGAGGTTTTTTTTCATCATTAGAAACAAGAAAAACAGTTGAAAAGCCAAAAACCAAAGCCAAATAATTGTATTTGTGACCCATCACATCAAACAAAGGATTAAATCACAAACTAGTATACAGTATGGAGAAATAGGCAGCTATAGGGTTTTGGTTAAAACGTTTGCAACAATTGCATTTTGTTAAAATATAGTGATTAAATACCATATCTACAAGTCAGGTTTTTTTAATGTCTGGAATATAATCTTAAATAATCTTTGAAGCCCAATTTTAAGCAGTAGCTAAAAAAACATGATTGAGCAAAAAAGCCTTAAAATTGTGTTATTTTCACTGTGAGCTAGCAAAACTATTTTTCATTCCCGATGGTTCGTCGAAATATTCAAAAATTGTTTGTTTCTTCTTTAAAATTACACTAAAAATTCCTCATTAGAATAACCTAAAAAACAGAAGATAGACCAAATATTAATAGGTTATCCTGATTAGGAAGACACAACATATCTCTGGAACTGATCATGACATCAGGATGATCCAGGGATCAAAATGTAGCTTAAAAAGCAGGAATCTGGAAATGTACCGAGGTCATTTTGATGAAATTTGACATGATTCTCAACTTGATGTGACGGATCACATATTGACAATGTTTTTTTTTAGAAATTTTATAATCTTCAAACCTTTGAACAAAAAAAAAAAAAAAACAAAAGAAAAGAAATCAAGGAAAGCTAAATCAGCTGAATGTTTTCAGATCCATTATTCAGAAAATCCTTACACAAAGACCAAACTTAGAAACAGCTAAACAACTCAGTATGAACTGGTTTCAATAGGATTTTACAAAGAAACAACTTTTTATCAAAAATGTGGCATCCAGTCAATATTAAAAAGGCCAGTACTGATGGTTAAATGTTTTATTAAAGCCATCCATGTCATCAACCAACGTTAGAGCTAGACAAGAACAAATAATACTTGCAAAGTTTTCACCATCCAGAGAAAAAACATTCAAAGTAATGAGCTATGCATATGTTTTTTCTATTAACATAAACATAAACATTTCAAGCAACTCAAATATAATTAAATCAATTACAAACCTTGTTCCCCTATCGACTGAAGCTAAACATGAGTTGTCTTTCAACTCTATCCGTGATCCTTTCTCTGCGTTGCCGTTAACTCTGTTAAGTTACACCTTTGTCTACCTTTTTTGTAGCTAGTCAAGCTAAGTCCTGGCACCATACTTTTGGCTTCAGAGGAAGTAATGAAAATAAAAGCATATAATATTAAATGTAATTTTTTTGAACAGAACTTCGCTGGTTTTTACAAAAAGTCTGAGCTCCCAAAAAACAATAACAAAAAAGACATTTTATAAATTTAGCTTGCTTGATAAGTGACCATGTTATTGTTGGCCAGCAAAATGCAAAGACAGCCGATTATTTTTTTTTCCCCTGTGACTATGTCTTTGTGCTGTATGCAGTTACTACAGCACTTGGTTAGGTGTCAGGTCCGCATTTTGCTTTTCCTTGAATAGACTTGTTGGAAGGTTCATTACAAAATACTCCCGTCCTCTGTTTCCACATTATGCATAATATGTGTTCAGGTAAATTGTGAATTTTTCTGAGCCCTTACAGACCAATAACAGAGTCTACAGCACACATAAAGAGTTATGTGGGTTCCACATGTAAACAGAGCAGAGTGAATCACAAAGATCTTCTCAAGATGGTTTCTGTAGTTCAGTGGCTTTAACAGTCATTTTAGCTGAAACTGAGCTAAAATTGAAGGTGGCAGCAGCTGAGAGACTTACACAAAACATAACATCTCTCAACATTGCATAACAATGAGCTAAATTTCAATTACAAAAGTTTTTTTTAGGATTATGCTAGAACTTGGTCATTTCTCAACGTGAGACCTTAGACTAAAAGGCTTCTTAGACTTAAATCTTAGACTAAAAGGCTGATGGTGATATGTATTCCTTAAGGAGGTGCTAAGACCATAATTGGTACAGTTTTTAAATTTGTCCTTAAATATAACTGCAGGTTTGTGAGAGTGTAGAGCAGGGGTACCCAAACATTTTCTCTGAAAGGGCTAAAATTAAAATCAATCTGAGTGGGGTGGGCCAAATGCAATAATATAATACACGAAATGTAAATATTTCAAGGAAAGTTGTATTTTTTATGATTAAGCTGCAGCCATTGCAGTTGCCCACATTTTTTTTCCAGCCCATGGACATGGAGAAAATTCAATGTTTGCTCAGGCAGCAAAGGCTCATGGGACTTTTCATAATTTAAAATTTGAGTATATGGGGTCTTATAAGGTGCGCAAATCTAGAAATGAACTTAAATCTAATATAAATGTCTCTTGAAGTTACTTGTATTTTAAGTTTATTCTTAACATAGTTCAAAGATAAAGTGAGCACCATGAGTTAAGTTTATCTGACTAGAGCTCCTTGTACCTATAGTTGGACCAAGGTTTGAAAAGACTAAGCGCAAATAGTATTTCTACATAAAACAGGAGATTACAATCTAGTAACCAGGATAACTGCTGGTGGGCCAAATCAAATGGCTTGGCAGGCCAAATTTGGCCCACGGGCCCCACTTTGGTCACCTCTGGTGTAGAGGCAACAGCAAACACAGGATAAATGCACAGCTACTGACATTTTAACAACCCTGTTCCAGAAAGTCTACATGCATCAACATGTAGATGCTAATTTTGTGGTAAAAAGGGTTTATTACTGGTATCAGCAAAGAAACGAATGCCTCTGCCTGGTAATAAGGAACATTTCTATTTTGGACTTACAGACAGAAAATAAATACAAAAGTAGATTTAAGGAACGGATTAGTCGTTTTAGAGTTGATTACAAATAATCCTTTAAAAGAAAATCAGGATAAACCACTCAAATATTTTATTTGTTATTGGCACAGTTTTAGAATATACATTTGTTAGAACTGAAAGTATATTTTAGGCAAAAAGCACGATGGGCAGAGTTAGTTTTGATATCGAGGAACTATGAAATAATGAAAAAGCAAAATGCCTACAGATTTGATGAACAGCTGTTGCCATTTTTTGCTTAATATCTAATCAATTCAGAAAATTGCCATTTATTCATTTTTGTAGCTCAGCTGACTTCGACTCAGCAGGGCCCGAGGTGTTTGTTTCATTTGAGGCACATCATCCTGAATCACATCAAACGAGCAGGAGAGGAGGAGGCAGGGCCTCATGTTAGCTGGGGTTTAGCAGATCATGCAGGCTGTCGTGGTCTCACCCTGGGCTCAGCTGCAGCACCCTGCAGTGTGACACAGGTGCATTTGCTTGTCTCCACCAGTTAAGATCCCAACAACAGAAATGTGCTCCATGTGTCTGAAACAGTTAAGCGTCCAACATGCCCAGTGGGAGTTTCTACCTTCCAAATAAGGCTGACATCCACATCAGGAAGCGCCTGCATGTGCAAGAAACGTGGTGTAAGCGAAGAAAGTAAGCTCAGGGGATGGAACACCTTAAAGTGTGCATGCAAGGCTGACTCAGAGCTTGGCTTTATTTGCACAGCATAATGGGACTGTGTGTTTTGGTGCAGCGATCATGGGACTGCCTCAGCTAGTTTTTGGCTTGCACAAACAGTCCTACAAAAACACAGAAGAACGACAGCTTATTTAAATTCTCGACCCGATGGATTGTTTTTCGGTTCTTGCACAGAGACGCACTCACGGACCAGTCACAAGCAGGAAGCTAAACAAGAGAACCAAGACGACAAGCTGGAACATTCCTAATACAGAGTGACTGCATGAGACAGTAACACATGACACGCTTCTCTGGAGTAACATCAATTTAGGAAAGAAGAAGAACATATAAAAACATAAGAAATCAGAAATGTTTTCAGTCCTTGATGTCTTTAGTTTTTCCTCCCTCAAGGAGCATCAGTCAAACTTCTCACTTTAGCTACATTACAAATCTGTTAAGATTCATTAAAAGAAATCCTTTGCAAACGGAGAGGTGAAGTGTGCATACGCAAGGCTGCAGACTACAAAAAATGCACCCGAAAAAAGCAACAGACTGGGAGTCAAACTAGATATTACGCAACTTCAAGAGCTACATACGAAAACCTCACTCAAACAAAATAAATATTTAAAGTATTTTTTTTGACCTGTTGGCTTGAACATTTGAGCAAGGCTCAAAGGTGAGTGCCAGGAACAAAGGAAGAACAAAGCTGTAAGAAATGTTTTGTCGTTAAAAGCTATCAGCAGATTAGGGAGGTGTGATACAACCAACATCATCAGCAGTTTCTAAACAGAGGAGAAATTTTCCATTCAACCATCAATCCATCTATCCATTTTCTTTACTTGTTTTCTCTGTGAAGGAGTAATTTGTTTTTAAATCTGAAATGAACAGTAAATACTGCGTGGCACTGTGGCAGATACCATGTGAGAGGCACGACCAAACTTCAGCTCTGAGATTCGTTGGATCCTGTATCGTATTTCATCCTGAATCAACAGGATTCTTCAATGTAATACAAAATGATGTTTTACGTGATTAAATAAAAAGACTCTTCAAATAATTATATAATTATATAA